TCCTCATGGGATTCTTGCTTTGGGTTCACAATTGCATATGGACTTAGAGAGGAATAACTTTTCTGCTGTTAATAAGGTCGATTCAAAGAAATTGAAGATGGTTATGGAGAATAATATGGTCAGTTTTGAAGAGGGCAGTTTCTCTAATATGAGTGTTAGAGATAGAAGAAATGTTAATCGTGATGGAATTTCTTCAGGAAGTTTTTTGGATGGTAAATTTTTGGCTGAGGAGAATTTTCCGCCTTCAGAAAATTTGTCTCGGTCAAAATGTTAACTAACCATAGAAAGCTTAGAATTTCTCCATGTCATTCGGGAAGTGCGAGCTCTGTGGGTGAAGTGTCTATTAGTTTTTTTGATAGAGTTTATAGAAGGGTGCTCAGCAGTATGGTCAGGGAGTCTTTGGAACAATTCAGGGTGACCTCTCAGTCTTCTCAAGCTTCTGTTGAAGCTAGAATCGAAGCTGTAGCTACTAGGGAGGTTTGTGACTTGTTGGGAATCTCCTTTAAAGGGGGTCAATAGATTTTAGAGGATAAAATCGAGGAGCTGGAGTTGAAGAGGGGTTGAAGAAATTTTAGGCTTCTTCTTTGTTCTGCTGGGTTGTGTTTTCTGTTTTTAGTTTCTGTTATGTTGAATATAAGCTTGTTATCGTGGAATATTAGGGGTCTAGGTAGACAAGAAAAAGTCAGTGCAGTAGCCAAACTTGTAAAGAAGAGCAGACCAATTATCTTGTTGTTACAGGAGACCAAGCGTGATCAGTTTCAGCTTGCCTTAAGAAGAAGAATAGGGGGTCTTGGCTTAAAGGGTTTAATTTTTCTCCATTAGTGGGTGCTGCTGGAGGATTATTGTGCATGTGGAATGAGGATGAGTTTGTCGTTAAACAAATTTTTTCTTTCAGCAGATTCATAGCAATCGTGGGTTCTTTTAAATCGTCAATGGTGGAGTGTGCAGTTTTGAATGTGTATGGCCCTTCTATTGAGGAGGATAAATAGGCTTTTTTCAATGTGTTAAAGGAGTTTGTAGTAGACCTAAATGTCCCAGTGTGTATTGAAAGAGACTTTAACGCCTATCTACAGACGGATGAGAAGTTGGGGGCGTTTCAAAATTGGCACACGATTGAGCTGTTCAGGAACTTTGTTCAACAAACTGAATTAATGGACCTTCCATTAGTGGGTGGCAGGTACACTTGGTGCAACAATAGGGAGTGTCCAACGTGGGTTAGATTGGATCGTTTTCTTATTAATGGAGATTTTTTGATTTCTTTCCCAAACATAGTTCAAAGTCTTCTTCCAAAGTCTCTCTCGGATCATAATCCGGTCTTACTTCAAGAGAATCGTCTGAGTTGGGGCCCCAAACCTCTCAGATTCTTCAATTACTTACTAGAGGAAGAGGGTTTTGAAGAGTTGGTCAGTTCTACAATTTTTAACCTTAACAGGGAAAATAATCGTAGAGGCATTTTTAGTATTCTGCAAGGTACAAAAAAGGTGATTAAAATCTGGTCAGGCAGTAGGCATACAATGATTTCAGACTCTATTTCGATACTGGATAACAAAATTCTGGATATGGAGTTAAACTTACAGAACAATAGTTTTTCGCCCCAAGATTGGAGGCAGTTATCGCTCCTAAAGAGTGAGCTTTGGAGGTTGCACAGGATAGATGAGAGGATTTGGTTTCAAAAGTCAAGGGCTAAATGGATTAAGGAGGGAGACAAGAATACGAGGTTTTTTCATCTGTATGCCTCGAGCAGGAAAAAATTGAACTCTATCTCTTCTTTGATAATTGATGGACAGGAGATTTCGAATCCTGATCAAATTTAAAACCATGTAACAGATTTTTTCACAATGGCTTTCAACTGTGTTGCAACTTTAGAGGTGGAAGATTTAAATCTTGGATTTTCCAAATTATCTATTGATCAAAGGGAGCGACTAGAGGTGCAGTTTTCAGAACAAGAAGTTTGGGAAGCGATCTCGAGTTCAGACAGTAATAAGCCGCCTGGTCCGGATGGGCTAACAATGGGATTTATGAAGAGGTGTTGGCATTTTCTAAAGGATTCGGTGATGAAGTTCTTTGCTATTTTTATCAGAATAAGAATTGGGAACACGGTATCAATCACTCTTTCATAACCTTAATTCCGAAGAAACTAAATCCAGTATGTTTGGAAGATTATAGACCGATTAGTCTCGTTGGAATCATGTATAAAATCATGTCTAAAGTTTTATCCAAAAGACTCATATCGTGTGTTGAAGGCATTGTCAACTCCTCGCAGTTCGCCTTCATTCCTGGAAGACAGTTGCTAGATTGTGCTTTTATCGCTAATGAAGCTATAGATTATTGGAGGGAAAAAGGTCTGAAAGGTGTTGTTTTTAAAGCAGATTTTTGCAAAGCATATGATACGATTGAATGGCCAATTCTACTCAGAATCATGAAGGAGACGGGTTTTGGTGAAAGATGGTGTTCGTGGATCTCGTATTGCCTTTCTACTGCGTCGGTTTCTGTTTTGTTGAATGGTACACCCACAAAGGAGATTCCGATGCCTAAAGGCTTAAGACAAGTTGGAGGGTCTGCCTATTCTTGCCAGTTGTCACACCTTCAGTTTGCAGACGATTTAATAATTTTCTGCACTGCTTCCATTGCGCAAATCAGATATGTTAAACGAATTTTGAGTATTTTTAGTTTGATGGTTGGGCTAGACCTAAATTTATCGAAAAGTCATTTATATGGGATCAATATTGAATAAGCTACCCTAATAGATTGGGCATCCTCCATTGGGTGCTCTGTGGGTTCGTTCCCAACGGTATATCTAGGTTTTTCGTTAGGGGCAAAGAAGAATTCAGAGGTTTTGTGGGAACCAATTTTACAGAGTTTTAACAATAAATTGGCAAGTTGGAAAGCTTCGACTTTATCCATGGCTGGTAGGTTGGTCTTATTGAAATCGGTCTTATCATCTCTGCCGATTTTTTCTTATCTATTTTCAAATTGCCGTGTAAAGTCAGTCAGAAATTGAATTCGTTGATGGCTGGTTTTTTGTGGGGAGAAGGTTCAGAGAAGAAGCATATCCATTGGGTGAAATGGCGAACGGTGTGTCGTTCGAAAGATGAAGGAGGCTTAGTGATCTTAGATTTAAATCTCTCTAATCGGGCTCTGCTAGGGAAATGGATTTGGAAATTTGCTAATGAGAAGGACACTTTGTGGAAGAATTTTATTTGCTGTAAACACAATTTGGATAGTTCGACTATGTCGGTTAATAGTGTGTATTCTTCACAAGACTCTTGGATTTGGAAGGGAATTGTTAGTAGTTTCCTGAAGAATGATGTAATTGGTGAGAGGCTAAGATCTCATTCTAGAATCCAAGTGGGGAATGGCAAATCTATTTCTTTTTGGAATGATGTATGGGCTGATTGTACTCCACTGAAATTTCAGTTTCCGCGAATCTTTGTATTGTCCACGAATAAATCGGGAAGGGTTAGAGAGTTTGGTAATTATGTCTCGAATGGTTGGATTTGGGATATTCGTACAAGAAGAAACTTATGTGATTGGGAGTTGGAGCAATGGCTGCAATTAATGATCAAATTGAACAATTCGCAGCTAACAGAGGAAGTGGACGACTTTTTATCGTGGACAGGGAAGGGAGATGGTTTGTTCACTGTAAGCTCTTGTAGAAGGATTATAGGGATTGACCAATTGGCGAATCCTTTTTGGAAGAATTGTGTTTGGACAGGTTTGGTTCCTCCTAGAATAGAATCCTTTCTTTGACAAGTTTCACACCAAAAATTGGCAGTTAAATCTCAGTTGAAAAATAGGGGGGTCCAGTTAGCTGATGGAGAGCTTTGTCCGTTGTGTTTGTTAAGTGCAGAAACGGTTCAACATTTATTTATTGTATGCCCAGTGGCTCACGAGGTTTGGACTAATGTTCTCAATCTGTGGAACGTTAGCACAGTTTTGCCTGGGGATATTTGCTCCCTTATTAGTTCCTGGTCTGATTTGGTGACTAATTCAATGATCTGGAATTTTGTTCCAGCAGTGGTTCTTTGGTCGATATGGAATTATAGGAATTCTATTTTTTTCGAAAATATGGTTTTGGACAGATCTTCACTTTTCTTCATCATCAAGGTCAGGTTAGTCAAATGGTTTCTGGCTAAGTTTCATCAAGTGCAGATTCCGGTGGACTCGCTAATAGCTGATCCCACTTTAGCGGATGGTTATAAGGGTCTACAGACTACAAGCAAGACTGTTCATAAATGGCTCCCACCACCTGCTGATTTTTTTAAATTTAATGTCGATGGTGCTGTTAGAAAGGATGGGTTGATAGGTGGCATTGGGGGTATCCTCAAAAATCATAATGGTTTTGTTCTAGCCACGTTTTCAGAGAGATTAGGTCCAGGTCCTCCCCCATTAGCAGAGTTGAAGGCTATTAGAAAAGCTGTTGGCATTTTCTATTCATCTGTTTGGGCTTCTAAGGGCAGATTAATTCTGGAAACGGATTGAAAGAATGCAGTGGATTGGGTTCAGTTGCCCAGTATCTCTCCGGTGTTTTTTAGAATTTTAATTAACGAAATTGAGTCTTATGTTATGTCCAGGGGTCTGATAGTGAAGTTAATTCCTAGGAGTTGTAATTGGGAAGCCGATAAGTTAGCTAAGGCAGGGATTGGCTGAGAACAGGCTGTTTTGTAAAGGTTTTTTAATGTATCTTTCTGTTATTAATGAAATGAGGTACTCTTTTCCTCCTTCCACTGTTTGACCCTTTCCTTTTCGAAAGGGTCAATTACGAAGGGTCTTTTAATGAGATCTCCAACTTCTATCAAAAAAAAGTATTCAGATCCAGAAATCAGAGACATTTACCAAATTCGTTGTCTTGATATGCCAAACAAATAATTCAACACATTTTGAAAATAAAATCACTCTTGAAGCCTAATCCCTCCTTTAAATAATCAATACACACTTACTCCATCTGATCTTTTTCTATTTATGTGTTTGCCATGTTCAGGTAAAAAAAAATTATAAACAATAGATGGCTTATGTTAGTTCTATGTTTTAAAATGTTTGATATTGTTTGTAGAGAGATGGAGAATGCTTCTGGATATGTGAAGTTCCAAAATCATTATGGCCTTGTGCATGTACAACTCTGTGGCAATTGTAAAACTTGGAGATCAGATTTGGTGTCTGAAGATGGTGGCTGGTTGTCTACTGATGTTTTTGTTGATAAATTAGATCAAAAGTGGCATGCAAATTTAAATATTTCCAACCTCTTTGTTCCGGTAAGGTATAAAAAGAATGTGATGATTAACTTTTCTTTCTGCATTTGATCCAGCATGAATTTGATGTCTATGTTTTTCTTTTCAACAGCTTTTTGAAAGGATTTTAGAAATTCCAGTCACATGGCTTAAAGGAAGAGCCAGTGGCGAGGTGCTTTTCTGACTTCACTTTGTTTTTTCATGCATTTGTTTTTTTCTGGCATTATATACATATCATGCTGTGATCTTTTAGAAACTATATGCACAGCCAAGTCATTTTATATGTATTCCAGTACCATGTTCAAAGGTGTTTTTAACACTCCTATATGATATTTGTGATCCCTTTTGCTCTTTTTCTATCAATTTCTCTTTACGTCTTAAATTTCATGGTCAATTGCATTGGAAGTTCTTTAGCGGCTTCCAGGTTTGAGTTCCCATAGCACTATTGACGAAGGGAGATAGATATAATAGTATCACTACGCTACATTACCATTTTGCTCTAACTCTCCATTGTTCTTGAATTTTCCAATGTCCGACACCTATCAGGCCATGCTATGGCTCTAAAGACCGTCCAAATACTTGACTAACTTATTAAAATAGAACGTATCTGTGTTGGAAACATGCTTGTATTGGATGCTGTGATGCTTGCTCCCTAGTCTGATTACATAACATTAGCCCATAGAATGGTTGATATTTATGAAACCACTATGATTTGAGTCCATCTACCCTTGTCCTTGGAGAGACAATTTTTCGTGAGTGGTCACCTAGAAACATATCAAATGGCGGTGGGTGAACTTTTTTAGGCTTTAGACTTTTTCTCCCCTCAATAAGTGGTAAAGATTCTACCAATTTTTGTTTGTTCTCTCATAGAGAGGGAAAAGGAAATCTAATACATATACTAGAACTTGAAGTACGGATTGGTTTATATCTATATCTTTGTCAGTTTTGTTTGTTGGAAGGGCTATATCATGCTATGGAAGGTAAAAGAACCGAAAACCCTACTTACAGTATAAAGTGATGATTGATGGATATATATACCGTTAGAATGATATATATACTGTTAGAATCAGCTGTGTAGAAGTCTTGTTTGTTTATGAGTCTTTTATGATAAGAAAGGATAAGTCTTGGGAGTTTTTGTAATCTCTATCTCTGGATAGAATTTTATCTTTAGCAGAAAAGTCCTATTTAGCAACTCAGTTTTTTTATAACTATTGTAATCTCCTAAATTCAATTGTCAGATTTCTCTTTCATCACCTCTTTTATTCTTTCCCTCTCCTTTGGTTTATTTCCTTAGATTATAACATATACTGGTCAACTTTGTTTATTTGCAGGTTCACTTGTGCATGTCAAGAGGGGACACATTTCCTAATTTTCATGGACAGATTGATGTGACAGGGTTGGCCTTTCAGATATACGATGCTCCATCATTTTTTTCTGTATGTCCTTGCTTCTTCTTCTCTGTAGTAGTACCCTGCTTTCATATCCATCCAGATATTTCTTGTAGCACTCCATTGAAATTAACTATATCTAGTTGTAGCATGAAAGAGAAAAATGTTCATTTATTTTGCTGGGTAGTATGTATAATACGCGAAGCTTATTTTGCATATCCCATTTCCTGGTCTTTAATTTACATGTTCTGTGTGCTTTATGCCAGTATGATGTATGATAAATTTTTGATAATTTATTTTCAGCACATCCAATTGAAATGAGCAGTAAAAAATGTTATTGGTCTCTGTAGCAGGTCTGAGTTCTGAAAGTAATCTTCTTATGTATCTTTTTGCTTGGTTTACGATTGTCTCTGTTTTATACATTTTATCTGCAAATGTTGTATGGATAATCTCTCTCTTTTCCCTTTCTTTTTTTGGTTATGTTCCAGTACTCTTGAATGATTTAGTTATTTTTTAGGTGCTAACCGGTTTTTTATATCTCTTCTATCGGAGATGCCACCATTTTGATGACAATGTACTGGCCTTTTAGTAAATTTATCAGAACTTTGCAGTCTCTATGCTGCACCATTCTTTATTTTCCTTTTTTTACAATTGTCGGTAAAAATTGCTAAACTTCGTAGCCTAGGGTGTCCAATTCTTCTTTCCAAATGCACTACTATTTTCTCAAATTTTAGAGACGCTATTTGGCTTGGGTCTTAACGTTTTGTAATATGGAAATTGGAAGTGTTCTTGCAGATGTCTTTACCTTTGTTATTGTGGTAATTTGAGATTACTTTTCTGGTTTAGGTGGTGTCATGAGGATATTGTTCTGTAAGATTTGTTGTTTCTCTTTTCCTGTTGTCACGAGGGTTGGTTTTTCTTGGCATTTCAGAGTGGAAAATGTATTCTAAGGTTTACTACTATGCCTTTTAGTGTGATTATTTTATGTTCATGAATGCTTTGACTTGCATTGATTCATTTAAATCAGATAAGTTGAGCATTAAAGACCTAATTCTGGTATGTCCTTTGAAGTTATTGATCTATCCGATATTTTCTTTTGCAGGATATTTGAGCAAGTTTATGTTTCCGGGGTCAGAGAATATTCCTTCATAATACAAGTGGCTGGTTTGGTAATGTTCCTTTAGAAGCTTCTGGAGATTTTGGCATCCACCCTGAGGAAGGAGAATTCCATCTAATGTGTCAGGCACGTACTTGAGTATATTCTGGCCAGGCTTTATTCAATGACCTGATTTCAGCATCGAATTGTGTTATTCGACTGGACTATGAAAGTGATACTGCTGTATGTGCTAAAATGAATCCGTATTCGAATAATAATTAAACTGGACTATTGGTGTTTTTTCCATGCAACAGAAAAAATGATAATCCATATTGGTGTTATTATTGCATTTTTACTTGCTGATGAATTAGGCTTGTTCAATTTGTTTTAGTTGTTAATATTGTTCCTACGTGCTGGTGGAAGTTTTGAACAGAGCTATCTCATATCAACTAAGTTTTGGTATTGTTGCAGTATTTTATTTAGGTTGGATCATTTTGTCTATTGTCAATCGATTGTGTGTAATGTTTAACATGAACTTCATGTTTTAAAAAAGGGATTCTCTCATGTTTTTTTCTTAGTTATCCTATTGAAAATTTTATTCTTTCAAAATTTTATTGTTATCTTTGATTGATAAGAAGGTTGCCATCTCTTATAACCCCCAACTTCAATCTGTTTGAGTGCTAGGTTTCAAAAGTGATTATTGAAGTTAGATTCATACCTGAGGACGAGCTGTATTTTGGTGATCACCTCAAAGATGCTGTCATAGTAGCAACTTTGTCCATATATTTTACTATTTATAGTCTGTAGATCTGAGTCTAATGATGAACTATTTGATTATGTTTAAAAATCTAAATGAATGTATTTGTAACATGCATCATGCATCACACAGTATTTACATCAAAATTTACAATGAGGAAATGAAAAAAGTCATGACTTGTAATCCTATGCTTTCTCTTTGAGCTTGAAGTGCCAGCTTTGTTGTGATCCTTTTGTTTATCTGACAACTTGCAATGTTTTATTCTTCACCAATTTTCTAATTCACCATTACTCTTTTCCAGGTTCCATGTGTGGAAGTAAATGCCCTGATGAAAACCTTCAAAATGAAGCCTTTGTTGTTTCCAGTACGCATATCATCTATTTTATCACATCACTATTTCTATGTCTGCTAACATTGTTAATTATTTATAATGACATATCTTACTTCTTAGGACTTTTCTGTTCTCACAGGATGACATTGTCATCTTCCACTTTAATCAGATGTGATTAGTGCAGGATAGTTTAATCCTCATACACTCTAGGTTCATTTATATTATGTTCCAGTTTAATCCTCATACACTCTAGGTTCATCTATATTATGTTCCAGTTCTTAAGCAATTTAGTGCTTTCTATCTTGACTGCAATTGGCTGGTTTTGTGACGGCGGTGTTCAACTGTCAAGGTCCACTGGATGCCCCTATTTTTGTAGGGAGTGGAATGGTGTCTAGAAAGATATCATACTCCGTTTCTGATGTCCCTTCATCATCTGCCTCTGAAGCAATGTTGAAAATAAGGAGGCTGGTGCAGTGGCAGCGTTTGACCATGTTCCATTTTCATATCTGTCTGCCAATTTTACCTTTAATACTGACAATTGTGTACGTTGTTTTCATTAGAAAATCATGAGTATTAAGATGAACTTTTCTTTGAATAACATTGTAGTGGAAAGGTTTTTGAAAATGTGTCATATGTGATAGGTTGCTGACTTGTATGGAATTCGAGCTAGTCTAGTGGATGGTGGGGAAATTCGAGGGGCAGGAAATGCATGGATTTGTCCCGAGGTATGCTAATATTACTTTTCCTGCTCAATTAGCTATGCTGACGGAACACTTAATTTTCATTGGATTATCATCTTATTCAAGCACTTTATGGTTTCTTCTGGTATCATGTTGAATGCATCTCCTTTCTGCTTCATTCCTTCTTTCTAGATATTGCAGAGTCTGGTTGACCTTTTTATACGTTGACTGTTATTTTCTGGACTTACAAGGTTGCTTCTTCTATATAACTGATCTTTACTTGCGTCTCTTCTAAATCACAATTATTCGTGATTTATTTGATGCTGGATGGTTGGCATTTATTTTATTTCTTAGCTTTAGTCCTCCCTTTAACTAGTTGGCAATTTGGAAATACAATAATCGAAGTATGTTTCTTTGCCACACACACATTATACACTCAAAAGTCATTTCTTCTGCCATTCTGATGTACGGTACTTACATATCCCAGGGTGAGGAAGATGATACAGCAATGGATGTAAATTTCTCAGGAAATTTCCCTTCGACAAGATTATGCAGCGATATATACCAGGTTATCTTCATCTTATGCCACTCAAGTTAGGGGATTTAAGCGGGGAGACAACTTTCTGGATCACTTTTGAAACCGTAAGCTATTGACCTTTCTTCTTGATTTGGGTTCATGGATGAGAACCACCTAGTTTTATTTCTCAATTTTCTGCTTGTTTCTTCTTCGTTGGTTTATTGGCATTCCGTTTGAACATAGGAGGTTTGATATCAAGTGGACTGCACCGAAAGCTGAAGGGTCATTTAGTGATGCTCGAGGAGATATAATGATTGCACCCGATTGTATCACTGTTAATTCTTCATCTGCTGCTTTTGATTTGTTTACGAAAGTTCAAACTTCATACATGGAGGAATACTGGCTAAACAAAAGGAGTTCAGTGAGAATATCACTGTGCCATTTACTGTTGAAGGAGTTGAGTTGGACTTACGTATGTGTGGTTTTGAGTTTTTCAACCTGGTATCCTCCTATACTTTTGATTCTCCAAGGCCTACGCATTTGAAAGCAACAGGAAAAATAAAATTTCATGGAAAGGTTCTGAAGCCTTCTATTACGAGTGATGAAAATATTGGTTCCAAGGCTGAGGGGCAATCGGAGAAAATAAAGGATAATATGAGTAAAAAGAGTCTTGTTGGTGACTTGTCTGTCTCAGGTCTCAGACTGAATCAGTTAATGTTGGCACCTCAGTTGGGCGGGCAATTGAGCATCTCTCAAGACTCTGTAAAGGTACTGTCTACGAACTTTGTCCACTAGGCAAGATACCTATTAAAACTTTTATTGTGTTTATATTCAAGTCATCTTAGGGCTTATGATGGTAAAAGTTCTGGTGTATATGTTGAGAGGGCCACATTATACTGCTAGATGAAACTTTAGCATGCTCTTTTGAGGTGTCTGTAGTATTTCTTTTTTTTTTTTATAAGAATTGAAGGCCTCATTAAAAACCCCCTTCATGATTAATGGAACTCAAAATGATTTCCTTAAAGTGGAAGGTGGAAAAGAGTGCCTTATACTTCATTAATAATAAAAGTATACATTCGATTTAAACATCAAGATAAACCCCCTTACAAACAACCCGAAAACCCAAAATTAAATACCCCTAAGCACCATACTGTACTTACCCCAAAATTAATTATATAGAAATTTGAGAATTTATGTGGTTAGTCTAGGACAGATGCATCCTTACAATATATTGCATTCAAGGGTTACCTGTGTATGAAGTGTTATGGCTGCTATAGAATAACGATGTTATGCAGGCATTTGCCCATTGCATGCTTTCTCCTATTCAAAATTTTATCACTCCTTTCTTTATGAAGTGGATATTTTAGTAACTATGTTTCGATACACACATCTTTACTCTTCTGTTTTAAATGGTACATTTGACGTAGTTAACTTTTTTTGTGGTTATTTGAAGCTTATAATGAATGAGGCAGTCATTTATAGAACGCGGGATTAGGTTTGGGAGTAAAAGGTGAGTCTTTGTTGGATCCTCTATGGAAATAATATGTTTCAATTGAAATTAGATAGTGTGACGAGGTAAGAAAAAGAATTATATGTTGCAGTATTTCTTACAATATAGACGATATAATATAGAGGTTTAAAAATATTATTTTCTTACATCGTGTCAAAGGGAGAGAAAGAGCAAAGAAGATGTGAATTGAAGCTGTGAAAATATGATACTTTTGCTTATAATTCTTAGGATGAGGACCTAAATATATTGATGGCCATTATAGCCTATCTGACAAAGTGAGTAATTCCTACAATATAGACAATATAATATTGGGGTTTAAAAATATGATGTTATTTACATACCTACTTTCTGTCTATGTTTAAAATTCCAGCAGCAGTTAGTTCGAAGTTAAACTCCATCAAGGCTAATTTTTTATGGGGATGAACTGCAGATTATAATAAAATTCACTGGGTAAACTGGTCCACAGTGTGTGAACCAAAAGCAGGGGTGGTCTGGGTGTATTGAACATTAATCTTATGAATAGGGCATTATTAGAAAAATGGTTTTGGAAGTTTGCTAATGGTAGGGATTCAGTTTGGAAGAAGATGATTTGCTCCAAATACAATTTGAACACTAATCTGATTTTTTTCAACAGCAAAGTACCAAATAATGCTTCTTGGTTGTGGAAATCAGTGGTTAATAATCATTATAAAGATAATCAGTTTGGTGAGAAGGTTCGAAGTATGTTTCAAATTAAAGTGGGTAATGAGACGAGCATAAGGTTTTGGTTTGATATTTGGGCTCTTGATCGTCCTTTGAAGACTGCTTTTCCGAGGATCTTTGCTCTTTCCCTGAATAAGGTTGGGAAGTTAAATGAGTTCGGTGAGTTCAAATCTTCACGGTGGATTTGGTTTGTGCAATTGAGAAGGAACCTGTGTGATTGGGAGCTGGAACAGTTCTTAAATTTTCAAACCATCATTCATAATTATAGTCTTTTCCAAGAGTCCAAAGATGGTTTGATTTGGAAAGGGAATGGGGAAGGTATTTTTTCTGTCAACTCTTGTTTGAAGACCTGTTTTCTTGGTCCGGTAGAAGACAATTTCTGGGATAATTGTATTTGGAGGGGGCTGGTCCCTCCAAAAATAGAGACTTTTATATGGCAATTAGCGCACCAAAAAGTGGCGGTTAAGTTGGAATTACAGAAAAGAGGAGTTTCGGGGATTGTTGATGTTTCTTGTCCTATGTGCAATAAAGAGTTGGAATCTGTTAATATTCTTTTTTTCTTTTGCACGGTTGCATGGTCCCTCTGGAATAAGTTTCTGAAGATTTGGAAATTTAGTTCGGTTCGTCATGTTAATGTTCATGGTTTTTTAATTGCTTGGTTTGATATGGTGCTTGCTTCTTCGGTTTGGTCCTTAATTCCGGGAGTAGTGCTTTGGACTATTTGGAAATTCAGAAACGAAGTGGTGTTTGAAGGAAGGTCTTTAGATCAGATTGAGTTATTCTTCATGGCCAGGATGAGACTAGCTTCATGGTTCTTAGCTAAGTTCAAAGAGGTTCCCATCTCTAAAGAATCTATTATTAATGATCCATCTATTGCAGATTCTTGCTTTTCTACAACACATTCTGTCCATAAAGTAATCCCTGGATCCCCCCTCCTAAGGGCTTTTTAAAGTTGAATGTAGATGCAGGAGTTTGTAAGGATTGGCGTAATAGCGGTGTAGGTGGTCTATTAAGAGATGAGTTTGGCGCTATCAAGGGTTCTTTCAAGGAAATAACTGGTCCAAGTTCTCCTACTCTGCTGGAAATTATAGCCATTAAAAGGGGTGTAATTATCTTTGATTCTATTCTTCAGTTTTTTAAGAATCAGTGGATTGTTGAATCTGACAGCAAATCTGTTGTGGATTGGATTAAGAACTTGGAGAATTGTCCTGCAGGTTTTCGAGATTTAGTCAAAGAAGTTGCTGAAATGATTAAGGTTTTGCAGGGTGCTATTAAATGGGTAGACAGAATTGCTAATTTTGAAGCAGATACATTAGCTAAGGCTGGTATTGGATAGTTTTCTTATGTTTATTAGGTTTTGTTGTTTCTCCTTTATGTCAGATATGTGTCAAGGTGGGTTGAGGGTTGTTTTTGTAAGGGGATTATTTGTTCTTAAACATTATGTAATCTTTCAATTATTAATAAAATTTTAGGCACTCTTTTCCTCCTTCCACTGATTAAGGAAAATCGAGTGGTGTTCCTTTAATCAAGAAGGGGTTTTTTAATGAGGCCTCCACCTCCTATCAAAAAAAATATGATGTTATTTCATTAGGTCGATGGGAGGGAAAGGGAAAATAAGACATGGGTTGAAGTTGTGAAAGAGTGTTGCTTTTGTTGAGAATGCTTAGGATGTGGACCTAAATAGACTGATGGCTGGTAAGAGTATGGCCCTTAGCCCTTATAGCCTTTCCAACTAGCGAGGAAGGTTTAAGTTGCTTTTGTAGCTTCCATGTGTCTATTGTTGACTGGTGGTGTCCTCTCTACAACACTAATTGCAATCTGACATTCTTATCAGATGGTGAAGAGGTTTGCTAACTTTTCTTAGTAATTCTTTAAGAGTTGTCAGTGTTGAAAGTGTTGCAGAAAAAAATATGTTTTAGCAATGTATGACATATGTAATTGGCCAATTAGTTTCCTTTTACAATTGTGTTTGTAGCTTCTTGGTGTCTAATGTTGACTGGGAAGTGACTTATTATGCATCACCTTGTCATATTAATATGGTGAAGAATTTTGCTATCCATTTTCTCGTAATTCTTCATTCAGTTCTGAACTGGAAAAATTTCTAGACTTGACAAAAAATGAAATAGATGCATCTTTTTTTTATAGAAATAGGAGGCCTCATTAAAAACCTCCCTCATAGTGGTTCCTTTCCCCAAAAAAAGAACCGACCAGTGGGAGGAGGAAAAGAGTGCCTTAATTTATTAATATAACAACATTACATAAGACTTGACAATTACACCAGAAAACAGAAACTACAAAAACGAATAAAACATCCTAAAACCAAAACCTTACATTCACCCAATCCCTTCCTTTGGTAAACTATCTGCCTCACAATTACAAGCCCTTGGAATCCACCTAACTAAAGACACCTTATCAGAAAAAAGAGACAATCTCCTTAACTAGAGAGTTAAAGAAGGCAGGAGCCAAAGACGGAGACTGAATCCACTCCATTGCCGACTTACAATCACTTTCAACAATCAACCTACCAACAGAAACCCAAACTGAAGAAGGAACAAATTCAATGCCTCTTTTAATAGCTTTTAATTCAGCAACTGGAGGGGGCCCTTAACCAATACTTTCCGAAAAAGTCATTAGAGTGCAAGAATTCCAATCTTTTAAAATACTTTCCAAAATGGCTGCATCCTTGGTTGAAGGTGATAATTACATAGCAATTTGAGAATTTATGTGGGTAGTCTAGGATAGATGCATCCTTATAATATGTTGCATTCAAGGGTTACCTGTGCATGAAGTGTTTTTGGCTGCTATAGAATAATGATGTTATGCAGGCATTTGCCCATTGCATGCTTTCTCCTGTTCAAAATTTTATCACGACTCCTTTTTTTATGAAGTGGATATTTTAGTAACTATGTTTCGATACACACATCTTTACTTTTCCATTTTTAAATGGTACATTTGATGTAGTTAACCTTTTTTGTGGTTATTTGAAGCTTATAATGAATGAGGCAGTCATTTATAGAACTCAGGATTAGGTTTGGGAGTAAAAGGGGAGCCTTTGTTGGATCCTCTATGGAAATAACATGTTTCAATTGAAATTAGATAGTGTGACGAGGTAAGAAAAAGAATTATATGTTGCATAACTTTTCCATGAAAGTTCAATTGACTAAATTGTAGTCATTCTCAATACTTATATTTTTTTTTGTATCTTATTGTTTCGTTAATTCTATTTTTAATTTTATTGGATTATTTCATTGTTATCAGTATATACAAACTAATTAAATACCTATTCTCATTGAGATGATAAGATCTAGTGTGTCTATTTGATACAAAAACCTCTATCTCATGTTTGTCTACTATATCGTGATCTTTAATGGTTTTGTTCAGTGTATTGTTTTGTGTCAGAAAGTATAATCATTTTTTTATAAATAGCGAGACCTCATTAAAACCCCCTTCATAACCATTGATGTACAAAAGTACATCAACGGATATTGGAAGGAGGAAAAGAGTGTCTCAAATTTCATTCCATAAGATAAACATTACACACAACATCCTGCTAATACAACCATCTCCCCATGCTCAAACCTTACCTCTGAAACACCCCTGTCCAGAAAAAACTACCCTATCCCTGCCTTAGCCAAGCTGTCAGCCTCACAATTCACAGACCTTTTAAGCATGGAATTGATTTATTCCTTTCTTCTGAATGGGCATTGAAGGGAAGATTAATCCTAGAGAGTGATTGTAAAACAACAGTTGATTAGATTTTGATGCCATATTCTGCCCCAACGTTTTTCAGTACTTTGGTTGGGGAAATTGGGGCCTTAGTTTCTGCTAGGGGTATTATTGTTAGATGGATTCCTAGGAGCTGCAATTGGGAGGCAGACAAGTTAGCTAAGGAGAGGATTGGTTGATGTTTAGAGCTTTATTGTTGTTTTGGTTTGTATTTTATTTCGGGAAGTTTATTATGTAAGTTGTAATCTTATGTAATTATGGTTTATCAATAAGATGAGGTACTCTTTTCCTCCTTCCGCTAGTTGCCTCTTCCACAAGAGCCAACTAAGAGGGAGGTTTTTAATGAGACCTATTTCTATCAAAAAAAGGGGAAGATTATGTAATTAAGTAGAATCTTATAGATTGTCTTACAATCCTTACTTTAAGGGATTTAGTTATTACCTAGAATAGGCCACTTACCCAACGTAGAAGTTTCCTAAGATAAGATATTGTTTGTGTATATATTCTTGTACCTATTCTATGAAAAAATATAATGGAATTACTCCATTTTTGACATGGTATCAGAGAAAGTATAGCTTAATCCTAGGCACTATTTTTTCCTAGTAGCCTCCTATTTTTTCCCTAGTAGATTTATAAGAATTTGGAATGTTCAATAATGTTTACATTTTGGCCCTGATTCTTTCCTGCAAGTTAGGTGGGGATTGGTCTTGAAATCAGATATTTGGAAAGTCATTCTCGGGGCTGTTTTGTGGTCTATTTGGAAGTACAGGAACATTATAGTGTTTGAAGGTGGGTCGTTGGACCAGATCAATATGTTTTTCCTAGCTAGATACAGACTGGTGGCATGGTACACTACTAAATATAAAGAGTTTTCGGGGTTCTTTGATTGTCTTATGGGGGATCCCTCGGTTGTGTATAGACGTGGAAGTAAGGGGAGTAGAGTGATCAATCTGGTTCAGTGGGTTCCACCTCCTGAAGGTTTCTTCAAATTACATGTGGATGGTGCAGTCACAGATGATTGGTTGAAAGGAGGTATAGGAGGGATTATTAAAGATTCAAGGGGTTCTACGTTGGCATCATTCTCTGAGGCTGTTGGTAAAGGACCTCCTACAGTTGTTGAAATGTTGGCCATTATTAAGGTTTTGAATCTTTTCTTTGACTCACAATGGAGTGGCAAAGGAAGACTTATTGTTGAGTTTGATAGCCTTGTGGTGGTTAATTGGATTAAGAATTTGGGGGTTGTCCCAATCAGCTATGTTTGTTGTTGAATGGAATTTTAGAGTTTTTTAGGGATAAAGCTGTGATGATCAGACATATTCCTAGAGGGGCCAATTGGGAGGCGGATAAGTTGGCTAAAGAAGGCATTGGATTAGAGGGGTTATTAGTAGGCATGGTTAGGGGGTTTTTTTTTGTTTTATTTGGTTTTTCAGGTTGTATGTTTCTGGTGTAATCTAAGTTGTAATTTTCAATGGTTCAATAAAATTTATGAGACAGTCTTTTCCTCCTTCCAATGCTCGATGAAACTTTCATATTTCGTTGAGTACGAAGGGGGGTTTTAATGAGGTCTCCCTATGCTTAAAAAAAAGTAGGAAAATGGTGGAAGTAGTTGACACCAGTAGTTCTGAAACTGCTCAAGAAGTCACGGTGAATGAGGGGAACTACTCTAGTTCAACAGGAGACTTGCAGAACATACAATCAGCGTCGACTGAATGGAAAAAATTATCTTAAGTGGTATCAACTAGTTTGAACGTTCCTAAAACGAAGAGGGAAGTTAAGCAATCTACTTGGATCTGGACCTAAGGCAGGAGATCCTAAGTTTGAAGCTTGGGATGAACAAGATTCTCTTGTAATGTCAGGTTTTTAACGAGACCTCCTATTCCTATCAAATAAATATGGAATAAAATTTCTTAGGCACTCTTTTCCTCCTTCCGATTTTCGTCGAGGTACCTATGTACAGTGACGATTATGAAGGGGTTTTTTAATGAAGCATATTTTCTTATAAAAAAAATCAATGCTACGTGCATGTTCTTAAACACAGCACAAGAGATATAGGAAGCAGTGAAACATACCTATTTAAAGGTTCGAGATATAGCCCAGATTTATGAAATCAAGACCAAGATCATAAAAAAGAATGCATCACAAAATTTCTGCAACCCAGTTAGTAATTTATGTCTTTATCATCAAGAGCCTTTATTTTAAATCGTGGCTTAGCTCAAATGGTTGTCCCACCTCCTGGTAGATTCTTGCAAGCCTGGGTTCTGATCCTTGGTTCTTGCAAATTATCCTTTCCCCAATGTCCCACCGGCTTTTTGCCTCCTTTTTATTCCCCCCTACCTTCCGTGACAAAAATAATAATGAAAAGAGTCCTTATTTTCCCTGTCAAATCTGTTATAGTTGGGCTGGGTAAAATAGGAGTGAGCATTTTCTTCCAGAATGTGTAGTATTTCAATATGATATATGTGGTAAAGGTCGACAACTTATTCTTTTGTACCAATGTATTTCCATTTTTTCCTCTCTTATTTACAAAAGAATGTTTGTCCACTCTGGTTGTGCAGTTAGATGCCATAGGAAGGCCAGATGAAAGTCTTGCAGTTGAGGTTGTGCGGCCCTTACAACCTGGTTCTGAGGAATATTTGCAAAATGGAAAATTATTCTCCTTTTCTCTTCAGAAGGGGCAACTGAAAGCCAATGTTTGTTTACGTCCACTGCATTCAGCTACTTTTGAGGTATATTGAGATCTTTCCATTTTAGTTTGTATATGTTAGTCTTCTCAGATACTAAAGGTCAGATGAACTCGAAAATTTCTTGCCATGTGTTTTGTTGCAGATACGCCACTTGCCACTTGATGAATTTGAGCTTGCTTCACTTCGTGGAACAATACAGCGGGTAAGCTTTTATGTGGGCTTTCTTGTCAGAAATTTAAAGCTGATATTATAGATAGCAACTAATTGAGATGATATGGGTTTTCTTTAGGGAGATACAGCAAGAGAATACATTCATATTTAATTAATTTGGCAAGAAAGAATCCAAAAATAAGTCAATTCTATTCGGATGATGATGACATGTTTAAGTTTGAAGATAGTGAGAGTATCTTTTTACTCTTTTTTCTGTTTTTCCTCTCTTTCAATCTTTGGGAATATATTTCTTTCCTTTTTCTTTTGTGTGTGTGTGTTGGGGGGGGGAGTTTTGCACATTACACTGAAAATTTTCTAGATTCTAAAAAAAGGTTTTATCATCTTATGTGGTGCTTGTATTGATGTTTTAAGCTGTTACTGGTTTCCATCTAAGACATTGTGTTCCAAGTGAAGCTAGATTCTTTTCTGTCAATGATGATTAATCATTTAATAACTCAGTTAGTAGTGGTGATTTGAGCCAGAAATTGTTAGTTAATCACTTCTTTTTCTCCACTTTCATGCTGAAATCCAGCTTAATTTCCAGAAAAGAAGAGGTCATGGTGTTCTATCCGTACTTCGGCCTAAATTTAGTGGTGTGCTTGGTGAAGCCCTAGATGTGGCTGCTAGATGGAGCGGTGATGTTGTTAGTATTTGAAGCTTCTATTCTATTGATATGTGCATTATTTTTTGGTTAATTTGTTGGGTCATCTCACATGAAATTACTGTTGATATATTGTGTTTGTTTCTAAATAGGTTTGGAATTCTTTCAACGAATTTCAATTTTTTCTTTTTTACCTAGTGGTTTCTAGGCGATTATATGATACATCTAGTTTGGTATATGATAATGTTGGTTATTTATTTTACTGATCTTTGTAATTGGTATTGTATTCTGCATATTAGTAATTGACTTGGTTTTGCTTTTGATTTTGATTTTGGTTTTTTTTTTGTGGCAACAAATTGATTTTTAATATTGCTTGCTAAAGAGTTTCTAAAATATTTAAAGACACCATTTTTAACGAGACCTCCTATTCTTATAAAAAAATCTCCTGTATTGCAACACATAGACACTGTAAACTATGTGGCTGACGTTACCGGCTGACATGGACTTTTGTAGATCACGCTTGAGAAAACTGTTTTAAAGCAAATTAGTAGCTGTTATGAGCTTCAAGGTGAATACGTGTTGCCTGGAAGCCGGGATAGAAACTTCTCTGAATTGGGAATGGATGGCTTGTTAAGAAGAGCAATGACGGGGCATCTTGGTAGTGTGATATCTTCTATGGGAAGGTGGAGAATGAGACTTGAAGTTCCTAGAGCTGAAGTTGCTGAGATGCTTCCCCTTGCAAGACTCTTGTCTCGAAGTATAGATCCTGCTGTCCTTTCTAGATCAAAGGTTGTTTTTTTGTTTTATTTACTGAAATGTATTATATTCAATTTTCTCAAGGCAGCTCATATGCTCATTAGAAGCCACCCCAACTATTTTGCTGGAAGCATTTTGGTAGTTGAATAATAGTTTATTCTTATGAACTGTGCCCACTTCATCCTAACCAAGTTCTTCAAAATGGAAAATAAAGTGCAAATGGTTTCAAACGTCATTAGAATTCTCTATGGTTGCTTTTTCTTTTCATTATTGGAGATCACTCTAGAGTATTTAATCCTTTCAATTAAAAATGTTCATGTTTCTTCATATTATCTCCAGGATCTTTTCATTCAAAGTTTGCCATCAGTGGGAGTGTATACTGAGGGTCTTCAGGACTTGCTTGAGGTACTTGGTCAATACCTGATTCCAGAAACTTCTATGACATGTATGCATGTAGAACGCACCAAATTTCAGTTCTTGTACTTTTCTATGCCTTTGATAGTTCTTGGAATTTTTAGGTTATTCGGGGTCATTGTACTGCATCAAATGAAGTTGTCCTTGAAGACTTAAGTCTCCCAGGTTTAGCTGAACTTAAAGGCCATTGGCATTGTTCTCTTGATGCAAGTGGTGGAGGCAACGGAGATACAATGGTATGTGAAGATACTAGTTTTTTTTTTCTTTCATCCATTTATTTTTATTTATATTTTTATTTATATTATTATTTTATTATATTATTATTAATAAATATGATTATTATTACAAACAGACCCATTTAAAAACCTGACCCGTTTACAAGCCTAACCCGGATCCAGCATAACCCTAACAGACTAGGGTTTCTTTCTTCCCAGCCAGCCGCCCAGCATCACAACCGTTGGATCTGGCTATGATCCAACGGTCCAGATGGTTCCAGCAGGAAACCCTAGGGTGATGATATCCTAGGGACACGTCCCAGCCGCTGCTGCTGCTTCCAGAACACTCCACCGCCACACCAACGTTCCAGCTTCAGCCACGCCCCGTTGAAGACTCCAGAAGTGCCTCGTCAATGCCCCATGTCGAAGCCCTATGGTGAGTCACCACCATAGTCCGGTGACTCACCAAAGGTCACCCCTTTGTGACCAGTCCGAGACGAACCTCATGGTGGCTATAAAAGCCACTGGTTCCCTGCAAACAAGAGGGACCAGAGGGAAGCAACCAAGATACAGAGACGAGAGAAGAGATACACAGAGAGGAGACGAACAGAGAGACCATCAACAATAATAACAGAGAACAAGACACAACAACAGCAACGATATCAACCACAGCAAACAACAACCGAAAGCAAGTAAAATCAACCAACCAATAAAAGAAAAGAAGCCAAAATACTTACCAGTCGCCGGAGCCTCCACTCGTCACTGGAGAACCAAAACGCCGAAGGTGAAAATTCTGGATTTATAACGTATTATGGGGTTTTAGGTTAAAATAACTTTAGATCGAGTTTTAGGACTTATAGATCTATATTTGGGGTGTAAGATTGTAAGTTCCGGCCACCACCCACGGTGGCCGGTGGCGGCGATCGGCGCCGGAAACGGTGGTCGGCCAGAAATTTTAGAAAGAAGACAGAGAGAAAATATTTTCTCTCGTCTGGAGAGAGAAAAAAAAAAGAGAAATGAAAGGTTTGGCTCTTTAGAGCCGGTTTTGAACCTTTTATAACATCATCAAAACGGTGCCGTTTTGATGAGGGATATGTGTGTAATTAAGGGAATGGGTAAACCGTTTTCTCAGTCCTTCTGGGTTCTGTAAGTTTGCAATTTGATCACCAAAATCAATTCTTATACGTTTTAATTTAGTCTCGTAATTTTATTTTATTACATTTTAGTCCTAGCCCGTATGTTTATACATTTAGGATAAATGCTTGATTTAGTCCCTCATAATTTAATTAGTGTTTATTTTAATCATGTATTAATATTTAGGTTAAATCACGCTATTCATACCTATATTACATAATATTATTAATTATGTCAATTAATGGTTTATATTTTATAATTTGATCATTAATATTTATATAATAACCATAAATTTTATTATTTTTACATTTTAAGCTCATATATTTATGAATATGATCCTATAGTTTTTAATACTATCACTTTTAATTTCTTTCATTTTAATTATTATTATTTTTATTTTATTATTACTTTTGATATATGTTTAAATTATTATTTTCATGATTATTTTATATTATTTATTTATTTATTCTATTTGTTTATTAAATAAAAAATCTTATTTATAAATTTAATTTTATAAACTACTTTTAAGAAAAAAATATTCATATTTTGATGTGTATTTATTTTTTAATATCGAAAAAAAAGCTGTCTTAAAGCACCTAGAAGTCTTTTTATGATATTCTTAAATAAATAAATATCCTATTTTTATAAATCATATATTAATTTATTTTAATTATTTTTAGATAAATGCTTTAATATTTATTTATTTTTTAATATCGAAGAAAAGAGCTGTCTTAAGACACCTAGAAGCCCTTTTCTGATATTTCTAAATAAGTAAATATCTTATTTATATATATTAATATATTTTCTTAAAATTATAAATTTGAAATAATAGGATTATAATTTAAATATATTTTAAATTTTTTATTTCTAATAATAGAGACAATTTATAATTAAAAAGTACCAATTTTGGGCGTTGTAGGGGTGCTAATCCTTCCCTAAATGTAACCGACCACGAATCCCTTTTTATTATTAAAAGAAAGAATTTTTGGTTATAAACGCAGACCAGTTCATCTTTTAACTGATGTTTTCTTAAAAACTCTGTTAAAAGATAATTCTTAGGTATTCAACCTACCTGACCCAAAAGGCCGATGGCGACTCCCAAATTATTTTCAAAACCATTTATTCACAACAATTTTCCCGTCAAGTAAAAAATTCGTGCCCGGACGAAAATCGGTTACGACAGCTTGGCGACTCCGCTGGGGACCCAGTCAAACTTTTAAAATCAATTGAAAATTGTCTCTATCAGTTAGAAATTAAAAATTCATATATTTAATTTTTAATTCTTTTCTTTCAAAATTTTTTATTACTTATTATTTTTATATATTATTTTTTTTATTATTTTTATTTATTATATTCAAGAATTAATTATTTTATTTGTTTATTTTTCTGTTAGAAGTTTGAACATTTCTCCTTACACACAACACTTGCATTGCATAACATAAAGCTCTATAATTGAGTTTATCCCTTTTTAAGTGGGAGTGAAAGCGACGTCTTCGTGAGAATTTATTCTCCGTGTCAGACCTAGCAAGTAACTTTCGGGGTTCATATGCCCTATGTCTTCGTGAGAATTTATTCTCCGTGTCAGACATAGAGAAGTGTATCCCCTCGAATTGAACTCAATCCACTTTAGTCTGTAGTGGACTAGGATTGAGGGTTGGTAGCCTAAGGAGGCACTAACAAGGACAATTCGAGTACCTTTACTCCTAGAACTAAAACCCTGCATATAATAAACCTTAGAACTTCTCATGATCTAAGATAGTACTGAACCTCTGTCCTTAGGTGTACACAAAGGAGAAATAAGCTTTAGCTTTTAATTTTTTAATTTATTACTTTTTCCTGAATAAATGCATGCGAACTAGTAATCATGCGTTTAGGTTAAATTTTCCAAACAATGCATGGAACTAGAAAGCATGAGGTTAAGATTTATACCTTGATAGATAGATTGTTTTAGTTGGTACTAACTATTCTATTTTTTTCATGCATATTACATTGCTCTAATATGTTCATATTGATTTCTTTTGTTTGCATTACATGATCATGGCATAACCAAAAGGTGTTGGCTTGAAAGACTGTTCATCATATTGGAAAGAAATCGTAAATGGACAAAAAGTTTTATGATCAAACAAAATATGATACGACCAAGGAAAGACATCCTGAAGAAACTACGAGGATCGAGGGAAGTTCTGCACACAGAGAACCGGTTATATTAATACCAAAAGTAATCCATAAAGATTCTGCCAGATTGATACCAAAAGCAGTCTATGGTAAGAGTATCAGTCGGGACATTCAGAGTAGTGGAGATTTTTATGAAGCTCAAGCATGTTATTTGAAGGACTTGAACGACCAAAACGAGAAATTGAGCACAGAAATGAAAACCATGCATGAAGATTTTCAGAAGATCACTCAAACCTTTCAAAATGCTGGCCTAGGAAGTACCCCAGAAGAATGGATAACAGGGGTCACCAAGCTGAAAAAGAACTGCAATATATATGAAAATCTTGTTCAAGAACTTCTTGGACAGAAAAGATCTCTTACAAGGGAAAATGAGCAACTACGAGAAGTGACACAGAAAATGAAAGAGAATGTCATGGAAGAGGTTGCAGTCCAGACAAGCAATATGTCCCTTAAGTTGATAGACTAATTTGGCTTTGGAGAAGTTAGGAATGAAATATATCCCTATATGTAAAGTTTTGTTTGATGTACCGAAACTTTTGCATTCAATAAAATCTGTTCTAAGATGATCACTCTTGAGTAACACCTTTTCATACATGCATTGGTATTTTGTATTTGTACATTTTTACGTTTGTATTTACATTTACATTTTTAAATTTACATCATGCATTAAAACATATTTAATTAAATAATAATGTTTATTTATTTTCAATATCAAAGAAAATGACAGTCTTAATATAACTGGATGTCCTATTCTGGTATTTTAAATAATTTACATTTACATTTTTACATTTTCATATTTACATTTGGCATCTTTGCATTTGTATTTTTATGTTTGCTTTTGTATTGCACAATTTGTATTCTTATTATTACATTCACATACTTACATTTGCATTTGGCATCTTTGCATTTTTTATGTCATAATACGTGTAAACATTCATTCATTAAAATAAGGATTTCAACCGAAGTGATCTTGGTTCTCCCTTGTAGAAGAACGCTTAGCACAACACAAGAAAAATGTCTAAAGAAACTGAGGATAGGCTAGTCAAATTTGAGATAGAGCAGAAAGAAATACAAGAGGAATTAAGGAGCAAGTTGGCACAAATTGAAGCTAATATCACAAATTCTCATATCGATCTACTGAACAATATGAAAGAAATGATTGAGAAGTGCCAGACAGCTGGAAAGAGTCTTATTGAAAACCCTACAAATTCTTTGGGTGTTACACCTATTCATATTCCTGAGTTCACCTTTGTACCCCAGGAAATTTAATCACCGATTTACTTCGCTGTTAAGAACTCACCATATCAAGCTGGAGCATCGTTCCCCACTGATTGTCCTACTACTTCTGAGTTGAAGCCTGATGAATTTTGTATTAGTAATGAGGTCCTTGACCTAAACAAATCAGTTGAGAAGGAAAAATTCACTCAACTACTGGAAAATATAGAAGAGGTGATAAAATCTATAGAGACAGTTGAGACATTTTATGGGTTTGATGCCAAAGAACTAAGTTTGGTCCCTGGCCTGGTTATTCCACCAAAGTTCAAGGTTCCCGATTTTGAGAAGTATAATGGGACCACATGCCCTTCATATCATATCACTATGTATTGTCGTCGTATGACTGGCTATGTAGAGAATGAAAAATTGTTGATCCACTGTTTCCAAGACAGTTTATCTGGGTCTGCATCCAGATGGTATAATCAGCTAAAACGTAC